AGTATCTTTTCTCTCTGCACTATTTGCTCAGATCCCTACGTGGCACTGTCACCTTTGCTGGTGGTGTATTTTACCCTTGACCTTTTCCTGCTTCCCCTCGGCTGGGCCCCCATAGCCCTGACTGTGTTCAGTGCATTCAGGCGCTTGGTTTTCATTGTTGCTTCAGTTTTTCCTTCCCTGTTTCTCTTGACTTTTGCCAGCTCCTTCTCTTCGTTTCCTTACACACATACACATTTTTGCCAGCGGGTTCTTGGTTGGCCCTTTGTTTATTGTGGTTCCTTCCTTCCTTCTTTCAGTAGTTTTGATTAGTGTGTCTGGATTCCTCTTTAAAGGAAGGGAGGTCTCCTGAGAGGAAAAACCAGTTGCAGGTCAGTTGGGGGAAGGGCCAGGTCAGAGCTCAGGACCAGCTCTTAAAACTGCCCGCCTCCTGGGGCACCGCGGGGACAGCGGGCTTTGAGGGACGATGGTGGTTTGGCCTCCTCGGCTATCAGCAGAGACCCTGCCAGCTCCCCTCCCCTGCTCCAGACGTGCGCAGATGGCCGAGCTCGTCTGCTGTGCCTTCAGCCCTGACCCGCGTGTCAACGGCTCGCTCCCCTGTCTCATCCTTGGCAGGCAGGGTGGGTGCTCTTCCAGGCTGTCCCTTTCATGGGCTCCTCTCGGCCCAGCCTGCTGCACACTTTTCATCCTTTTCTCATGTATTCAGCTTTCCCAGAAGTGGAGTTTTGCTCCTCCTTCTGCATTTTCTTTACTGTCTTCAGGTGGTTTTAGAAGGAAAGAAGTAAGGACCTCTTCCAGCTAGATGCAAACATGTTCTTACAAGGACGCCTGCCTCTTCTGAATAAAGAGGAAGAAGAAGTCGAGGCATTTCCCCGGGAACCAGTTATCCCTGTTGTTATCACGAAGCTTCGGTTCCTGCAGGGCCAGGGATGGACCAGATGGTGAGCAGGATTCATGCTGCCCTACCCCCAGCTCAGCCCTGCACAAGCTCACTGGGACCTTTCTGGCATCTCTGGCATTTTCCTGCGATAACATCCGGTCCCCCTTGGGGGGATTCCCTCTGGAGAAGCAGGATGTACTTCCTCTTGCTGATCATGCAGACGGAGATAACAGTTGAGAATTCTCTATGACGGTCAAGCCAAAGGGCTACTATATTTGGGTCCAAAAATTTATTCTCATCCCTCTAAAAAATATTTGGAATATGTGACTATTGCTAAAACATGAGCAGAAAATGGAGAAATGAGAACACTCCGTATTTTTTATAACATTATTTATTTATTTGTGGTTGCTTTGGGTCTTTGTTGCTGCGTGGGCTTTTCTCTAGTGGCAGTGAGTGAGGGGGGCTCCTCTCCAGTTGTGGGGCGTGGGCTTCTCACCGTCGTGACCTCTCCCGGCGTGGAGCACGGGCTGTAGGGTGAGTGGAATTCAGTAGTTGCGCACGAGGGCGCAGTGGCTGTCGCTCCCAGGCTCCAGAGCAGACAGTAGTTTTTGGTGCGTGGGCCCAGCTGCTCCGTGGCATGTGGGATCTTCCCAGACCAGGGATCAAACCCAAGTCTCCTGCCTTCGCAGGCAGACTCTTTACCACTGAGCCACCAGGAAAGTCCAAGACCACTCTGTTTAGTAACAGATCTTGATTTTTCTCTGGTACCTAGGAAGTTGAAGAGCATCTGAACTCGTTTCCTTTTTAAAAATGAAAGTCAGTCTAAAGAAATGTTTGTTGAGTGTGGAGTTTATGTTCATTGAGGCCTGGAGTCATCTCTCTGCTCCGTCCTGAAGGCTCTTTGTGGCCAGGCTGGATTGGACTTCTTCGGGAAAGCCCAGGTCCAGGTTTTGCAAAGGCAGCTTGAAAAATGATACCTCAAAGGGAGTGCAGAAGCTCCACCCCTCTCTCCAAGGTCAGAGCATGTGCTACAGGAGCTTCTGCCCAGATGATTTTGGGGCTCCAGGTCTGATCCCTGAGAAGGGAGGACCCCTCATTTTTTACTAACTCTACTGTTCCATGAAGCCACTTTGTCCCAGTTGGGCCTGGTGGGAAGCTGGCATCTTACCTAGGCAGCTACCTGTTTCATGTTTCCATAGACACCTATCCTGCGTGTGGCAGGAGGGAAGCAGATTGGTGTCTCTGCTGAGCCCAGGTTTGAATCAGAACTTTCAGTCAACATCTCAACTCTTTGGGCTTTTATCCCTACGGTGACTGTATAATTTGTCCCCTAAACCAGGACACATTAGAGAGACTGTGATTAATAAATTCAACACTACCATAAATTGAGAATGTCCCAGGCAAACCAGAATGAATGGCCCACCTAATTACCTCCTAAGCTTTCAGTGATAAATCCAAATATATTGTGATACGTTGTAACATACACCTCACATTCTCTCCAGCCTTGCAGTAAAAACCTGACATTATCTTTACTAGCAAGACTAGATACTTATTCATACTTAGTGGCAAAACTAGTCATCATTTAGTCATGAATTATTTCATCTTCAAAGTCTTTCAAGTTTATGGGGGCATGCATTCCTTTTTTGTAGCGCACACTAATATCTCGCTCATAGTTTTCTGCCATCTTACAGGAAACGGAACTTGATTTAGTGGCACGGTTTATCACCCATCGTGGGTCTGTTGGGAGGATTATGGCACTTTTATTAATCTTTTATTGGAGTGTAGTTGCTTTACAGTGTTGTTCGTTTCTGCAGTACAGCAAAGGGAATCAACTGTACATATGCATGTATCCAGTCTGTTTTCAGTTTCCTTTCCATTTAGGTCACCACGGAGCACTGGGTTGCCTGTACTATACGGTAGTTTATCAGGTATTTATTTCCTGTATAGTTGTGTGTGTGTGGCAACCCCAGTACGATTAGGGTGCTTCTAAGTGGTTCCGTTCACTCCTTCAATAATAGTAGCTTATTGGTCGCTGTGTGCCAGGCTCCATGCTGAGAGGTTAGTAGACCATTTCTCACTTACCCCGTGCATCACCTTCTCTCGACAACGTGGAGAAGTTGCGTAACTTGAGTGTTCTCTCGGAGTGCATCAGCGCGGAGCCTGGTCAGGTATGCAGACAGCCTGGCCTCGGTGCCTGTGTTCATTGTGGGTCTGTATTCCTAGTGAAAGGTGTGTTCTCTCTTACACCCTGCAGGCTGTTAGTGTTTCCTTAAATGAGCACTCATGTGCAAATGTCCCTTGTTAGTCTGTCCCTAGTTCAGTGGCTCTCTCCTCTCCCCGTTTGCCCTTTGTCTCAACTTGGCATATTTTCCATGCAGCTGTGGTTGACAAACCTCAGTGGTATTATGGCTTCCTCTGCTTTACAAAGTGAAAGTGAAAGCCGCTCAGTCATGTCCGGCTCTTTGCCACCCCATGGACTATACAATCCGTGGAATTCTCGAGGCCAGAATACTGGAGTGGGTTGCCATGCCCTTCTCCAGGGGATCTTCCCAACCCAGGGATCGAACCCAGGTCTCCTGCCTTGCAGGCGGATTCTTTAGCAGCTGACCCACAAGGGGATAACATTAAATGGGGGGGTACTATATTATCACATTCTTTTAACTGAGCTCTGACTGCCGTGAAGAGGTAATCAGGGTGAGTACCATGAGAAAGTCAACTCAAATGTTCTTAAATCATCTTGGGTTGTCCTGGATGTATGGAATACTGAGTGCGATCACAGGGGGTGAGGCCACCTGCTCTTAGGATGTCCTGTCTTCCTTGAGTTCCTGGCACCCTTGCCTGCACACGGTCTGGGCACACACAAGTGTTTCTAGGCTCCAAGGCCCAGAGCAGGTGGTGTCTTGAGGCCAAGGTTCACCCTGGGCTCCAAATGGTGTAGTCGATGCTCACCAACTTCCCAGCGTGGCTCCAGTGAACCCCGCTCTCACAGTAACCAAGGAAGGAACCCCAGGAACACGGGTGCCTTTTAATCATGGTTATCCATGTTCTGGGCGTTTCCCATGCATGATGTAGTCCTCCTAACAATGCTGTGAGATGGGTCTTTGTTCTTTCCCACTTTACACCCAGAGGAATTGAGGTTCAGAGAAGTCTAGAGATGTGCACGAGTCCCAGAGAGCTGGTCTCTGCATAAAACCAGAGCAGAAACTCCAACTTCGTGCTCTGCCCACCCTGTAGTGCCAGCTCCCTCACTGGCCTCTGGTGGACGTGGATTTTCCTCCTGGGTGTCATTTTGCAGGCATGTTGGTGACTCTTTGAACGAATCCTTAGCAAGTATTTCAGTAGAGGAATGGTAGTGCATTTCATGGGGAGCAGCATGACTGAGCCCATGTTGGTGGGAGAGGGTGGCCCCCTCCCTGTCTGGGTCACCTGCAGCTGAACCAGTTCTATTAGAGGGTTCCGGCAAATTTGAAGAAACAAGTGCGTTCCTTGAAAAGATTTTCACGTGCTTCTCATGTTGGGCCTTTATAAAGTGAAAAGAAACCTGAAAAGCACAGGGGAAAGTGGACATCGTCTGGGTAACAGTGAGCCAGAGATGCCAGCAACTCTACGTCCAAGGCCGATCAGCAACGTGGCATCTGAAGACTCATCTTTGAGTGTCTGTAACTAAATGATGGTGGTTTGGTGGTTTATTCACTAAGTCATGTCCGACTTTTGTGACCCCAATGGACTGTAGCCCGCCAGGCTCCTCTGTCCATGGGATTTTCAGGCAAGAATACTGGAGTGGGTTGCCATTTCCTTCTCCAGGGGATCTTCCCAACCCAGGAATCAAACCCGGGTCTCCTGCATTGCAGGCAGGTTCTTCACCGACTGAGCTATGATGCTGTGATTAAATCTTTAACACAGCATGCTCATGCACGCATGCACACATACACATCACCACACTTCTACAGTGAGGGGACTGTAGTCAGGAGGTTAATAGGAAGTGAAAGTCATGCTGCATAGCAACATAACCACCCTGCTCTCCCTAGACCACTCTCCAGGGGACTCTAGTGGCTTCTGAAGTCCGTGTCTCGTCCAAGTGCACGGAGATGGTGATCATGCCTCACCTTGTGGTTTATTGCAGGGAACACGTAAGCCAAGTCCCCCTCAGAAGCCGCTGCCTGCAGACCCTTTGAGCAAGACAGTTCGCCTGGCCGGCGCCTCTGCCAGGTCTCCGGGACGGCAGGAGTCCACGCTCCGCCTGGCGCCCATCAGGTTGGTGATGCACCCTCTTCCCTCTCCTCCTCCCTGAAAGCCTGTGGGCCAGCTGCACGGGCCATGCTTCTCAAACCACCGGAGGACACAGGAGTGTGGTGCCGGCTGTGTGTCCCACACTCCCCACCCCTGGGAGCAGGGTAAGACAGACGCCAGGGCAGATCTTGAAAGGAAGCAGCCGGGAGCTGTAGAATTGGTCGCTCTTAGCAGTGATCCCGGCCTACCAGTGAGATCAGCTCAAGATCAAGTAGAACAGATCCTTCAGAGCAGTGGCTGATGATCTGGGCCAGGGCACAGCCAGCCACCAAGCGGTGCGATATTGGGACAGTGGGACACCTGCCTCCAACAACATGACTGGGACTGTGATGGCTTCTCCTCGGTCCCAGGGATCCCGAGAAACGAGGTGAGGTTGGAGGCCCGGGGATAAAAGAAGGGGAATGGAAGAAGCTAGGCTGAAGAAACTGCTGGGCAAAGGTAACCGGGAGCTTCCCACTCAACTGGCTAAAGGAATCGCCTTTGCAGACTGAGCGGCCGCTGTGGGTCATCCACTCTGCCCTCCCCCAGGGGACTAGGCCCGAATTCTGACTTGGGCAGGGAGGGTTAACCCAAAGGTGTAGCTGGAGCCAGCTCCCGTTGGTTTGTAAGAACTATTAAATTTCCAAGAATTTAGCCAGCTAGGTGTTAAGCCTGGCCCTTCTTTAAAATTACGTAAACTGGAAATGATGCCAGTTATATTAAAAACAAAAGTAATAAATGCTCAGAGCCCCAAATTTCCTTTTTTTTTAACTACATTTTACTGCCATCCACTCTCTTGAGGTTACCTGCATCTGTCATTTCTGGGTGAAGGGAATACCGTGCCCCGGTGGCCACCCCACAGCTCTTCCATGCTCAGCCGCGTCCTGTTGGGAGCGTGAGTGTTTATACCGTGGAAATCGACAAGCAGCACAGTTCCGGGGCCTCTGACTTCCCCCGCCATGGCGGGTAGTTAAACATTTTCCAGCTCACAGATCGGTTAAAGCCTCAGCAAAACACACACCCCCTTGGCAGCTCGCTTTGTGAGCAAGGTAGGGTGCTGGCCGGGCCCTGGGTTCAGTAATTCAGCATCTCCGAGGGGAAGGCACGCGATCGTGAGTTCATTCCAGCTCTCAGGGAAAAATGTTTCGCCCGTGAAAGATCTGTGTAATAAATGTCAGAGAGAAAGCTGGTCAGGGGGTCGGGACAGTGGTTTGATTCCTGGCTGTACAAATACAGAAACACTACAGAGCATTCTAATTATTTCACTGTGGTTTGTACACTGATCTTGAGGTTACTTTTCTAGTTTTCAAAGGGGAAAAAAACAGGGGCAGGAAAGTGGGGAAGGCCCTCTTTTATCTAACTGAAGTTTAGTTGATTTTCGATGGTGTGTTCGTCTCTGCCGTACCGCAAAGTGATTCAGTTATACGTGTACATTCTTTTTCTTACTCTTTTCCATTAGTGTTTATCACAGGATGCTGAGTGCAGTTCCCTGTGATGTACGGTAGGACCTCGTTGTTTATCCAGTCTATACATGGTAGTTGGCATCTGCTAATCCCAAATGCCCAATCTGTCCCTTCCCCACCTCCCTCCCCTTTGGAAGCCACGAGTCTGTTCTCTGTGTCGCTGCCTCTGTTCCGTAGATAAGTTCATTTGTATCATATCTTAGATGCCACACAGAACAGATAGATATCCTATGATATTCGCCTTTCTCTGTCTTACTTCCTTCACTTAACATGATAGTCTCTGGGTCCATCCATGTGGCTGCAAAGAATATGTCATTCTTTTTTTTATAGCTGAGAAATACTCCATTATATATAAATTATATATACCACATATAAAGGCCTTTTCTCTCTTTTTTTTTTTTCTCTTCTGAGGCAGTGATTTTTTTAAAAAAAAAATTATTAGAGTATCCATTCAGTTCAGTTGCTCAGTCGTGTCTGACTCCTTGTGACCCCNCAGCATTTCTCTGCATATAAGTTAAATAAGCAGGGTAACAATATACAGCCTTGACGTACTGCTTTTCCTCTGTGGAAACAGTCTGTTGTCCCATGTCCAGTTCTAACTATTGCTTCCTGACCTGCACACAGGTTTATCTCATTAGAGTCTACTTGACGTACAATGTGGTGGTAAGTTTCAGGTACACAGCATGGTGATTCAGTTATATGTATATATGTTTGTTATTTTTCAGATTCTGTCCCCATATAGGCTATTACAGAATATTCAGGCAGGTTCCCTGTGCTATGTACAGTAGGGCCTTGTTGGTTGTCTGTTTTATATGTAGTGATGTGTTAATACCAGGCTCCTAATTTATCCCCCGCACACACACATCCCTTGAGTAAAACCCTAAGTTCGTTTCCAAAATCTGTGTGCTTCTGTTTTGTAAAAAGTTCATTTATATCATTTTTTAAATTAGAGTCCACATATGAGTTATGTTTGTCTTTCTGTCTTTCTTTATGTTTGAGTACTGTTCCACTGTATATATGTACCACACCTTTATCCACTCCTATGTTGATGGACATTTAGGTTGCTTCTTGGCTATTGTAAATAGCGCCGCAGTGAACACTGTGGTGCGTGTATCTTTCTGAACTAATGTTCTCTCCAGATGTGGGGTTTCTGGGCCACGTGGTAATCCTGCCTTCAGTTTTCTGAGGGCCCGTCGTACTGTACTTTACAGGGGCTACCCTGGTTCACATTCCCACTCACAGTGTAGGAGCATTCCCTTTTCTGCACACCTTCTCCAGCATTTACTGTTTACAGACTTACTGATTTTTAATTGGAGGATCATTGCTTTACAATGCTGTGTTGGTTCCTGCCATACCTCAGCATGAAGCAGCCCTGGTGGGTATACATGTGTCCCATTCCTCTTAAACCTCTCTCTCACCTCCCACCCCATCCCCCCTCCCCCGCTTCTAGATGGTTTAAGCTTTTTGATGACAGCCATTCTGACAGGGGTGAGGTGGGATACCTCATGATCCTTTGGTTTGCATTTCTCTGATAATTAGTGATGTCGAGCCTCTTTCATGTGCCTTCTGGCCATCTGTGTGTCTTCTGTGAGCTTCCCTTGTGGCTCAGAAGGTGAAGCATCTGCCTGCAATGCAGGAGACCCGGGTCCAATCCCTGGGTCGGGAAAATCCCCTGGAGAAGGCAGTGGCAACCCACTCCAGTACTCTTGCCTGGAAAATCCCACGGACTGAGGAGCCTGGTGGGCTGCAGTCCATGGGGTCGCAAAGAGTCGGAACAACTGAGCGACTTCTTTGAAGAAATATGTATTTAGATCCTCTGGGGAAGGCCCCCTCTTAAATGATCTTAAGCAGCGGCCTGTCTTACCTCTGCCAGTTGATGACACCAGTGCGAGCTGGTTCTGTCTCCACCTGTCTGTTCGTCTCCGAGGGATCCCACGTGCCCAGCTTCACTCCCCATCGTCCGGAGCCGCCTCAGTACGGCCGCTGCTGGGCACGCTGTGGCTGGTGGAAGACAGGATACGCAGGCAGTGCAGATAGACCCTGGGTTTTGCAGTCAGTACCCCCAACATGTCAGCTATCTCAGTCATTCTCCATGTTGACTTACTGAAATACTGCTACTCTGGACATGGTGGGTTAAGTGAAATATGACTAAAATTAGTTTAATCTATTTTTTTTTCATACAACTGCTAGAAAATTTAAAGTTGCATGTGAGATCCACCTTTGTGGCTTGCACTGTTCTGTTTCATGGCATTCTTCTCGAATCACCTTGTGGATGGACAAGAGGGGCAGCTTTGAAAAGGGTCATAAATGGCTGAAGACGCTACAGCCCTCAGCAAGGTCCTTTCTGAATCTGCCACCCCTGCTGCTGGCAAGAGCCGTTGGTCTCCAGCACCTGCGGTGGGGTGGGGTGGGGTCGAGTGGGGGGCAGAGGTGAGATCTGACCCTGGAAGCCCATCACAGCACAGGAAACGGTATCTCCAACCCGGGCATCGAGGGTTGGCAGAAATCGCTGGCAGGGCCTCTGACCACCGTTTTGCTGTCTGCTCTCTCTTCCGACAGACCTGCTGCGAAACAGCCCCATCCGGTGCCCAGACCCGCCCCCATCACCTACGCTAAGTGAGAAGCAAGCCGACACCTTTGTTCAACAGTGAAGACACAAGTTTGCACTATCTCTCAACTCCAGTTGGGGTTTTTTTTCTCTTGTACCAACTTTTAGAATTTTTTAATTTTTCAAACACCGTGATTTGAAAGAACTTTGAGCTACTGCCGTTGGTGCTGTGCTGTGCTATGGGTGCTCTGTATACTTACTTGCTCAGGTACTTGTAAATTATTAATTTATGCAGAATGCCTGTTACAGTGCAGTGCGCTGTAGTGGGCTTTTTTAAAAAAAAAAAAACCCATCACTGAGTTTTCCATGGAAGGAAGGCTTGTTGTGCTTTTAATAGTTTAGTGAACTTGAAATATCGTGCTTTTGGGGATTCTGGACAGGATGTTATTTCTGATGGAGGCTTCATGAGGAGGGCAGTTGCCCAGCTTACCCATGGCTGTGGTTCTGGTACCAGACACAAAACAAGAGACCCCAGGTAGAAGGCATGCTCTGAGGCCAGAGCCTGGCTTTAGGTCCAGGCTGTCCTGGGCCTCCAGAGATCTTCTGGACACTGTCACAGCTGAGGGGCTGGCCCACCAGGGTTAACCCTGGAAGCTCCAGGGATAGCAGGGAAGGACCTGGCTTCTGGCCAGGGAGCTTGGGAGAGAACCTGGATCCTGGAGAGGAATTTTAAGGTGTGACCACTGTAGAAGACAGACTTGGAACACGAGGCCAGGCAGACATTTGACCTTGAGCTCACCAGCCATGAGCACATTTGGAGAGCAGGCCGAGAAGTTTGCTTTATAGAAACACCAAGAACTTCTTTTCCTGGCTGCCCTTTGCAGAGTGCTGGCATCAGCGCCTTATTTAAATTGGGAAAGGTGGTGTTTCTACAAGACAGCTACTGCCCGAGCCCTGCAAACCTCCGTCTCCCTGTGCTGTTTGGAGCTGAACAAATTACCACCTTGTGTTCTTGACTGTAACACAATGATACTGTGTTCTGACAGACAGATGAGGCTTTCCATGGGAGCATAACTGTTTTCAGATGTGAACCCGTAACCAGATCTAGTGAATCAATTCTGGAGATAAAAATCTCCTTTTATTGCAAGGTTCAGCTTATTAAAAATTAGGCAGAATCCCTGTGCTTGCAAAAACTGCAGCCAAATGGAAAGCTGCGTTCACTGGGACAGGTTACGGTCTACTGTCTTTGTTAGGGTAAGTTGGACAAAGAACCCTAAGTTACTAGTAAGTTCTCTTTGGGGCATCTTGTTTTCCCACCTTGGCAGCAGGAATCTTTCAGAGGTGTTTTTTAGCGTAAAGTCTGGATCTGTTTCTTAAGCTTTTACAACTTACCTGTTGAGCGTCAAAGTCCTCACGTTCATGCTCAATATTCATGAAATGCAGTCTTGAGCAGCGGACTCATCAACCTTTCACTCTTCTCCACTGTAGAAGACAGACTTGGAACACGAGGCCAGGCAGACATTTGACCTTGAGCTCACCAGCCATGAGCACATTTGGAGAGCAGGCCGAGAAGTTTGCTTTATAGAAACACCAAGAACTTCTTTTCCTGGCTGCCCTGTGCAGAGTGCTGGCATCAGCGCCTTATTTAAATTGGGAAAGGTGGTGTTTCTACAAGACAGCTACTGCCCGAGCCCTGCAAACCTCCGTCTCCCTGTGCTGTTTGGAGCTGAACAAATTACCACCTTGTGTTCTTGACTGTAACACAATGATACTGTGTTCTGACAGACAGATGAGGCTTTCCATGGGAGCATAACTGTTTTCAGATGTGAACCCGTAACCAGATCTAGTGAATCAATTCTGGAGATAAAAATCTCCTTTTATTGCAAGGTTCAGCTTATTAAAAATTAGGCAGAATCCCTGTGCTTGCAAAAACTGCAGCCAAATGGAAAGCTGCGTTCACTGGGACAGGTTACGGTCTACTGTCTTTGTTAGGGTAAGTTGGACAAAGAACCCTAAGTTACTAGTAAGTTCTCTTTGGGGCATCTTGTTTTCCCACCTTGGCAGCAGGAATCTTTCAGAGATGTTTTTTAGCATAAAGTCTGGATCTGTTTCTTAAGCTTTTACAACTTACCTGTTGAGCGTCAAAGTCCTCACGTTCATGCTCAATATTCATGAAATGCAGTCTTGAGCAGCGGACTCATCAACCTTTCACTCTTCAGATGTCAGACTGGGGAACCATTTTCACAAGGAGATCTCGAAGATGCCTGTACCTAATGGCATGAAAATTACAAAATTACTCAGACAAGGTCAAATGCCATTATGCCTGTCTTCTAGTGGGGTCCTATGTGGCTAGTTTTCACATTAGAAAGCAATTGACAACGGTTCCATGATCCACTCTGTTTTATGAGAGAGACTTCATCTGGGGTCATTTCCATGGTTTTTCTATGCCTTGAAGCAGAAAGACAAAATGTACCAAGAATCTTGGTTTGCCTTCAGGAAAACAAGAGTGCATTTAACTCTCTCCGAGTTCCCACCGTATCTAGGCAACATAGCATTCAGGATTGTGGATAAACTCAATAAACCCATGTCACACACACACACACACACAAAGGGAACGCGATTCTAATGCATTCCAGCTCTTAGAGCATGCAATTTGTTCATTATGCAATTATTAGTTTCTTAAAACTATAAAGCCATGTTAGAAAATATTACTGCTGATGAGTATTTACAGAATTACTGTAACTAGCATTATATTTGGTAATTGTATTAAGGCCAAAAACATATTCTATGGGAAAGTTTACAGCATTTCTATGGTGCATTAAGTGGTTATTATTTTTATAGACACCCAAATCCCTGGATCTGGCATTGTAGCCTCTTCTGCTAGTGTAGGGAAGAGGGTGTGAACTTTTCTCATCTGTCCTTAACTAGAATTCCTGTGCTTCTATTTCAGAGAACCGGGAATAGTTTGATATTAAAAGAGATTAATGCTGTGAGCTTACATGTCATCATCAGTGGCCACTTGTCCATGGCTGATGACACATTCTTCTCTCTACATACTAGGTGCTTTTATAGAGCCGTGCAATTCATTTCTGGAAAAGAACATATTTAAACCTAATATCCCCTTACAGTACAATGTTATTCAAGGTAATGTTATTCAAGGAATGATACTTCCAAATGCAGTATTTGTCAAATGAAGCATATTCAGCAATAACTTTCATTTTAATGTAACTTAGGAACCAAGAGCCAGTTTGCTTTGGGGAGGGGAAGAGGTATTTCTCCCCCTTTTCATATCCTCCTAGATGATAGAAACGAAAATGAATACTTATATTTCAGTGACCGTCTATTTTTAATATTTTTTTAACATTGTATGGGCATGAATAATAGAGTTGATGTGGGTTTAGATGGCTTTGGCTGAGAGTCCGCATGCCTCGACGCAGAGTCGGCCCCTAAGGGTAGTCACTCTCCTTCCATCTTACTAGAGTTGCAGGTCATATAACCCCACTTGACTGGGAAGTATATGGCTAGCCTTCCAGGCATTCTACTGAAAAGTTGACTCCCTGAAATTTTGTGTAACAGTGTGCTTTTCCTGACACATGGACTCAGATGTGTAGCAACCGAGAGAAACAGTGCATAACATTTTCCACTGTCAGACTGTGCATCCAGAGACTGCCCTGCCCTGCGCGACCGCTCCAGCGTACACATGTGGGATGACATCACAGAGCCACAGATTAAACTCCACGAGGATAAGTACTCCCAACTAGTCTCAAAGGGGACATTTTTATGCCTTCTTAACTTTATTAGGAATTCTCAGGCTGAAACCAGAGGCCATTGTTCCCTGACAAATCAATACAACGTATCCATATCTCCTCCGAAAGAAAAACAGCTCAGGCCCTGCCCTGTGGCAGACTGCTCCTACGAGACCCTGATCTCCTGTGGTGCTAAACAGGGCCTGGTACTGGGCCAACTTCAATAGCGAGCATCTTCCCGCCATCTCTCACCTGCTGTTTACAAGCGCTCTGAGCCACTGAGACCCCAACGACTGGGAGGGCGCCATACCTGGGCGACAGCCTGACCCCCCCTGCCAGGCTCTCGGCGGGAGGCTTCTTCTAAGACTTGCCCTGGAGGGCTCCCCGGGGTGTCTGGGGAGCAGGAAGCCCCAGGGCGGGCAGACTCAGCCTGGAAATCCTTCTTCACTGTTAGGACCCGAAGCAAACACAAGTCAACCAGATAAACGTCACACCCAGAAGTCTCGCAGCGCCAGTGCTGGCCCCCACGGGGGACTCAGGCTGTGGATCCGTCCCCATGACGGCTGGCTGGCGGGAGCCTGAGACGTGCCATTTCATCTCCCCGGGACTCGAGAGAGAGGGCCACGAACACATCTGGACGCAGGCAGCCTCGGCTAGCACCTCTCCCCACCACCAGACCCAGTTCCTCCCCCAGCCCTAACCCAGTCTCCCACACATCTCTGCAGTTTGCTGGTTGCCCCACAAGTCCCCCCAAAGCCCAGCCTTCTCCAGGGCCACAGCTGGGAGCAACCCTGCCCACTCCCCGCTCTGCCACCCCAGCGGGGAATCCAAAAGCATCCCCCACCCCCCAGGCACCTCCAGCCTAAAGACTACTCTAATTAAAAGGGAGAGTTGGCCATAGGAACTCAGTTTGCCTGTGATGACTGAAAGTCTCTCGACTCACTCTCCATCTCTTTCTTTTAAACCTGTTTGAAAACTTTGACAGTCATATGAGTAACAACGAGCTAAAGAGAAGGCTGAGAACCGTTTCTTTGCAGCGATGCTTCCAGTAGCCATTGACCTGCACAGGAATGGACCATTTCTCTGCATTTCATAAAGGAAACCCCCTCTTTTCTTTCGGGACACCAGTGGCAGCTTAGAGCCCAGCCAATAAGAGCCTGATCCATATGAGACAGCAGGGGAAGAAACCCTGCGTATAAAATTGTCATAAAAGCCAACAATCGATAGTGATAGCCGGAAGATTTAATACACGAATTTTCAGTACCATTCGGCTTTTCCAGGTTCAGTACTCTGTAACCAACCCTGATTTTTCCACATCCTCTTCAGAAGTCATTACCTGTGATACTCCATGAGATAGTTTTGTTAGTCCTCAATTTAGCACATTTTAAATGCAGACAAAAGGAAAAAATCTCATGTGATCCTATGTTTATGGCCTATAAGCAAGTACTTAAGTGGGAAGGACAGTGATAGAGGGAAAAAAAAAACAAACATCCAACTAGAAAGAGAAAATCCCTTAAGAGTCCATGGAGGGCGAGCCACATCAGAGCTCGCTGCTCTGTCAGGTCAAGGGGGGAAGCTCGAAGGAAAGTGCACTGTTTGAACGTGTGTGGCACGGAAGTAGAACTCTCTAAAACCTGGCTACAGGCTATTCAGCACAGTACAAAGTTACAGCTCCTAAACCAGTACGTTCATTTTTATAGTGCTTCGTCCATGTATCATGCTTTGGTTTGCTAATTTTTTTTTTCACTTACCTTTTTATGTTACAGTCTGTTACCTTTGTACACGTTTCTCATATCGGGGGGTCTACAGGTAACACAACTTGCTATTTCCATAGGAAAAAAAAAATCATTGTTATGAATATTATATCCAATAAATGGTATACAGGTCAATATAAAGAGGTGTCCCATTCATTACTGAGATTTTTACCAAAGTAGGGGCGGGGGGCTCTCAAGTTGGAAAATGTATCTGTATTCTTATTCATTTATAGATGCATGAGATGCATAAGAATCTAACAGGGGCGTCCCTGGTGGGTCAGCAGTAGAGTCCACCTGTCAGTGCAGGGGACCCGGGTTCAACCCCAGGGCTGGGAAGACCCCTTGGAGAAGGATATGGCAACCCGACCAGTATTCTTGCTGGGAAATCCCACAGAGGAGCCTGGCGGATTACAGTCTGTGGGGTCGAAAGCGAGTCAGACACGACTTAGCGACTAGACAGCAAGAACCTTAGGAAGGGTGGTGAGCTGGAGGGTCAGGAGATGAATGCCGCGATCCACATGCGCCCATCAGGGGGTGGGATGAGGAGGGAAGATGTCTGTGTGCCTTTTCACACACACACTAGAGGTGTGCTGTGCTGTGTGTAGTCGCCCAGTCCTGTCCGACTCTGTGCGACCCCCTGGCCTGTAGCCCGCCAGGCTCCTCTGTCCATGGGGATTGTCCAGGCCAGAATACTGGAGTGGGTTGCCATGCCCGATCTCCAGGGGGTCTTCCCGACCCAGGGATCGAACCCAGGCCTCCTGGATTGCAGGCGGATTCTTTACCATCTGAGCTACCAGGGAAGGCCAAGAATAGAGGCAGTGGGTAGCCTGCCCCTTCTCCAGGGGAGTCCAGTTACCAGCTGAGCTACCAGGGACGCCCATACTAGAGGTGTGGGGAGACCCGATAGTTTTTCTGAACAATGTGATATATAACTTACCAAAATAAAGTTTTAAAACTCACCTTATAGAAGAGAGAACTTCAGAAAGAAGGCAAGCAGGACTAAAGTATTTACACAGAAGAGTAAAAATCTAAGTGCAATGGGAATCTATTACAATTTTTTAAAATAGCCTCCAATTTCATAAAGAACTTCATTAAATACAAAGAAAACAAATTTCCAGGATGATAACAAGGGTCCTTATTCTTCTCACCTTCCACCCATGACAAAGCAAGTAACAGAAAGTACATACATAGAAGGCCTCAGACATAGCTAATAGTGTGGATCAATTGATATATATATATATATATATATACACACATATATATTTATGTCAAATAGGATACTTCAAACATACAGAATATGCATGCACCTTTCAAAATGCCTCTGGAAAAATTATATAATTTTGTATATTAATGCATGAAGTAAAACTCAGATCTGAATGGTTCAAATTCTGAAGATTATAATGGTAGAAGGCATAAAAACTATGTCCTAGAAATGCAATGATTCTTGAGTCAAAGGTGAATAGCAGATTATGTAACAAATAGCAAATGAGACCAATTATGACAGCACACTCTACAGCCGTGTTTCTCAGACTCCTTGAATTATAGGCACCCACCTGCAGTGCTTTTGATGATCCACCGCTCATGGCCTTTCCTGGGATCTTCAGTCCAGAGGGAATACCAGTTCAGAAATGAAAAGTATAAATTAATTGGGAAAAATAAAACTAATAACAGCATGGGTTCTTCCTCGGAAAAATTAAAAACAGAAGATAAACCACCATCTAGTCTTAATAAGGAAAAAGATTAAAAAGCAAACACACACAGCACATGAGCTCACGGAACCCAGAAGCCCACTGTAACCCAACAAGAGCATCTCAGGAATATAAGGATGGTTCAATACTTTAAAATCTAGTAATCCAAGTCAGCAAACTGATAGCACATTGGAAATATGATTAGCAGAGATGCTAAAAAAAAAAAAAAAAAAAACTGATAAAATTCAACACCCATTCCTGAGTTTTAAAAAGTCGGAATTTAAAGGAAAGGCAAGAGAAAGAAAGGAAGGAAGGAAGAGAAAGTGTGAATCAAGTAAAACTGGAAACCACAGGACTTGAGAGGTACTCCAGTGGAAAATGTGATTCACAGATCTATGTTAGGACCTTCCAAGCACTCGTTTTTGGCTAGGTTACACTGTAATGACAAGCCACTCTTCAATTTCAGTGACTCGCAACTTGAAAGGACTATTTCTCACTCACGTCATGTCCATTCTGGGTGAGCTTAGGCTCTGGTGTCAGGACCCTGGGCTGTGAAGCAGCCTTTACGAGTCATGGCTGGTCTTGTGACAGAGGGAAGAGGGACCTGGGGGTCCTTAAAGCTCCCGCTTGAATGGGTAGGAGCTATTTCCATGCACACTTCATTGACCAAAGTCAGCCCCATTATGTGGCCAAGCTTGAGGCCCACAAGAAGGACCATTCCCTCTTTCCAGAGCTCGTGACTGCCCACAAGAAGGACCATTCCCTCTTTCCAGAGCTCGTGACTATCATCTACAACAGATGGAGAAATGAAGGTGAGGTGAAAGTCAACACGGATTACGACGGGGAGAAAGGAGCCTTGGAGAGCTGTGATAATGCTCTGATTTATAGAGGGATTTTTTAAATCTAGAGGAATAAGCATTTATACGAAAGGTAGAACACTAGTGAAACAGAGCTAAGAGGAGGACTGCATGAGACCCATGGTTCATGGGATTCTTCAGACAAGAACACCGGAGTGCATTGCCATGCCCTCCTCCAGGGGATCTTCCCAAACCAGGGATCAGACCTGCCTCTCCTACACTGCGGGCAGATTCTTTACTACTGAGCCACCAGGGAAGCCCATTCTATAAATAGTATGGAACAAAGTGGAGAATTGCCAACATCAATAAAATTGATTGTGTTTTTGCCCCATGCCCTTCCCCCAAAGTTTCAGCACTTTTACTACCTGTGAGTTAGTCTTTCCCTGCAGAGAAGATTCCTGTCCTGGGCAGACCTCTGTAGCCCATCTTCTCTCGGGGCCGAGTTAACCAGCTCGTCTTTCTGGAGACACAGAAGGCATGTGGTCAGCTAGCTCCCTTCTTTGCCGATTCCAAGTGTGTCCACTGAGTTCAAGCACCAACACGTTTGTGTCTGAGCCCCCTGTCCATTCCTGTTGTCTCGGATCTGAGCGATCAGCATCAAAACCCTTTCTGCTCTGAGGACTCAATGAAATAAAACTCTTCTTTGGCAAAGCTGTCAGCAGGCCGGCAGGCCAGGTCTTTCATTGTCAGGGCCTGAGTCTATGCAAACACGTCCTCAGACCAGGCTGTTCTAAAAAGCCTCCTCTAACAGCAGAAGCGGAGTCTTGAAATATGTATCTTGTGCTTTGATGTGAGGCCAACAGCTGAACAGAAAACTCTGCTCGTGGCCTCCTGGGCTTTCTGGAGGAGCGTCCCTCCAAGAGGAAGCACCACCTGGCAACACGGCTGCAAGGCCTTAGGTGGGGAGGGAAGGACAGAACAGAAAACACACGAGGGCAGGAATTTCCACCGGCTCCCAGGGTGGCTTGGAGGATAGACAGCTTGGAGGGCAGGGGCGGGAAGAGGGAGACTGGTGTGTGGCTGTGCATCTCCATCTCTAGGACCTAAATATTTTGTTTCATGTGTAACTTCAAGTTCAGGAAAACATCCTCATCCTGCAGACACCCAGTGAAAACACCACTGCCACACACGTTTAGGTAAAAAGGTGTATTTCAAAGTGGGAACAGTTGTATGTTACAAAAGTCACTGTGAATCTTCAATTAAATAAGTAATCAAATGTATAGCCCTCAGAGACACAGAATTCCTTCTCTCCAGTTCAAGTCCCGCTTTGCTTTGTTTCACTCAGCTTTGAGAGGGAAGAAAGAGGTGCCCTGGTCAGCGAATAGATGACTTCTTTGGCATTTGCTTTCTTTTCCTTTCTTCTAATAGGGAGAGGACATTCTAGATAAACAAAAACAGGTGCATGTAATCCAAGGATTGGGGTTTTTTAATTTTTTTTTAAATGCTACAAAATTAGCCTCAACGGGCAGCAACAACATCCCAACCTGTCTGTCGAAAACTCTGGCCATCTCGAGGACGCCTTTGCCAAACTGAAAGACAAAACCAGAAGAAGAAAAAAATTCTTTCGGGCCTCTGTTCCCTCCTCCCTTCCAGGGAAAATCTTGAGATGGAGATGGAGTCACATACCTCATTTTTCACACTTGCATCTGCCCCTCTGTCAAGAAGTAACTGGACTAATTCTTCGTGGTTATTCAGCACGGCCACCTAGAAAACAGGTCAACAGTGGGGTGTGAGCAGGAAGGGGATCTCGGTACAGGCGGGTCCGGCACATCCACCAGCAACACCCTCAGAGGCAGAGCCAGCAGGGGCCACCGGGGCTTTGCAGGATGGGTGTGTGGACCCCACTGCACAGCGCCGGCAAACGCAAGGGAAAGGGAGAGGAAATCTGCTTCCCTCCATGTATGACGACACATCCGAGGCCAACCCTGGACAGAGAACAGCACTGCTTTGTTCCGATCCCAAAATGGCCCCAGAGGCTGGGGTTGGCAATGCTTCAAGAAATAGTTGTAAAAAGACTACAAAGATACTAGACTGGGCTCCCGCCCCCCCCTCAAAAAACATGCCATGATGACATCACCATGTCTTAATTCACAGGCCAGTGGGGAATACATACGCCACCCAAACCCGGTGCTTTTATGCAGCTGAGCTCAAAAGAAAGGCTCTTATGGGGCAGCTGTGACCTTAATCCCACACGTCAAGCCAGGCTGCTGCGTGGAATAAGTCGTACCATGAGAGGGGTCTTCCCGTCTTTGTCCTTCACATTCACATCTGCACCTGCGTCAATCAGCAGAGAGGCAACCTCCTGGTTCCCTGAGACTGCAGAGACTCTCATGAGTGGGGTCCACCTGGAACCAGCATCCACGACGTCCACCTGTGGAGCCCCAGGGCGAGTGGCTCTCAGCCCGCTTTCTTGTCCTGCACGTCCCTCGTGGGATGCTTTTAAAGCAATGTCTACTTGCCCAAATTCCCCCGATTTAGATAGCAGTCTTTAGAGACCTAGTGATGATCAGCTGGACTGTGCTGACTTTGTTCACATTTACACAGCAACCATCTGTGTTTGGACCACTTTAAAGAGTGCAGAGAGGCCCCAAGATGCCTCTCCCCACCCAAGGGCATCTTCATTTACACTGTGTTGAAATGGAAAGAAAATGGAATAGAAAAATGAACATAATCCCCTTCTCCTTGGCCCTATGTGAGCTGCCTTATTTTCTCCTGCCTAACTTTCCTCTCCTGTTTTTATAGTTTCTGCTTCTTATTTTAAGTATCTTTGTAAGTGACTTTAAGTCCCTTCTGGAACAAGACAGGAATATAAACACCCACCCTGATATTTACCGATAGGTATTACTTTTAAGCAGAAGAATCACAGGTAAATACAAAGCAACCAGATCTCTGACATGAAGTCCAGCCTGAAAAATTAGCCAACCTAATGCCTTCCAAAACAAGAGCTTGCCTGCTAACAAGACGGACTGTTTCCCAATAACCTACCCTACACCAATATCTCACAATTTTGTGCTTTAAAAGACGTTTTAAAATAAGGGAATGTAAATGTCCCCTCCAATTCCGTGAAGACCTCATCAATCCATGAGGCATGGTACTGAAGTAAACGTACACATGTGCACACAGATGGATGCCTGGATGCACGCATGCACACACACACACCTCTAATTCTGTTACAGAAGAATTACTCAAAGAAACCTATAGCTTCAGTAAAACATCAGACCAGAATAACAAACAAGGAACTGCCAGAAGAGCTTTAAGACCTTGCAGGTGATTTGTATGTTTGAGATTACCCTCTGCAACACCGTTAAGATTTGCAGCTCTTCCCCCTGCAAATAACAAATAACCTTTCTGAGCAGCAAGCTTGGTTACAGGTAAATAATAATGAAATAATTGCCTGAAATTACAGGGTGCTGTATACATTTTCAGTGCACGCTGCTGCACATTTTCTCTTTGGGTCCTGAAGGTGAAACAGGGGTCGCTATATTTATTCCTGGTTTACACGTGTTTAAACCAAACCTCAGAAAAGTCAAATGGCCTTCCTGAGGTCACATGGCTCATTAAATGTAGAAATGGTTCCCCATGGAAATAAGTCACACTCAGTACAGATCGTTCGATTCAAGCAGAGGGTGATGATGTATGCACACACACACACCTCTAATTCTGTTACAGAAGAATTACTCAAAGAAACCTATAGCTTCAGTAAAACATCAGACCAGAATAACAAACAAGGAGCTGCCAGAAGAGCTTTAAGACCTTGCAGGTGATTTGTATGTTTGAGATTACCCTCTGCAACACCGTTAAGATTTGCAGCTCTTCCTCCTGCAAATAACAAATAACCTTTCTGAGCAGCAAGCTTGGTTACAGTTAAATAATAATGAAATAATTGCCTGAAATTACAGGGTGCTGTATACATTTTCAGTGAACGCTGATGCACATTTTCTCTTTGGGTCCTGAAGGTGAAACATATTTATTCCTGGTTTACACGTGTTTAAACCAAACCTCAGAAAAGTCAAATGGCCTTCCTGAGGTCACATGGCTCATTAAATGTAGAAATGGTTCCCCATGGAAATAAGTCACACTCAGTACAGATCGTTCGATTCAAGCAGAGGGTGATGATGAATTTGCTCCCAGGCCCATCCCACCATCGTGCTGAGATCTACCTGCCACTGGCCAGTCACACAGAAACCTTCATGGACACATTTATGGAGCTGCAGTTCTGCAGAAAAAGATGGTATTCACCCCAAATGAGTGTGTCCATACCCGAAGCCCTGCACTTCCAAAATCCCAGTATTTAAATGTCGACAGCAGAGACCTGCCCTTCTTTCAGCAAAGGTCAACCATCATTTTCAACCACAGACTCTTACTGGGTCCGAAACATGAGCAGAACTCATCATAAACCAGAGAAGAGGAATGTGACTGTCACTCCCACCCACAGCAGGTATGGGCCGGCCCTAACCACCAAGGCACACAGGCTAATCCTTTTGACCTTTTGTGCGTATTTCTAAAACAAAGAAAACAAGAAATGTAATAAAAGGGGTTTATCTTAATGACTGAGGTATTTTTCCTTCAAGGGGCCCTCTCCTCAGCACTCTATAACCAGTGAGATCCCACAGCTTAAGTCTTGCTTGCCCTCGGTCACACTTGAGAGACAAACTGAGCAAATCTACAGACATCTTCCAGGAGACATAACTCACCTGCTTCCAAGTTTATTTTCCAGGTCATCAGTTTACTTCTCAAAACCCTGCACCATCTGGCACTCACCATTAGGACAGCATGTTGTCCATCTTTCCTTATTTCCATGCCCTACAATTTTTAACTTCTTTGACGTCTTAAACTGAAGTTTCCAACGTTATCAGCAGTTACCATAATTGACCTAATTCTATTTGCCCAACTTCAAATATGTATAGATGTCCAAACAACTCTGATTCTATTTGACAAGTAGGATTTGTACTTCCTGATGACTTGAAACCAGAGCAACACCTGCTTCGAAGTGAAGACACAAGAGCTGGAACACTCTCTTTTTGATATAGCGTTTGCTCTTTGGAAATTTTTTGTAATGATTCATCTTTAAAGAAAAGAATAAAAAATAATCTAATTCTAAAAGCAATAACTGTGACTCTAAGAGTTCTGAACGTCTCGGCGTGTCCAGCCCCTGGGACAGTATCTGGTATGTGGTCAAGACACAATCAAGCTCTGTTGGCAGATGGAAAGAAAGAGATAAGTGAGGAAATGAACAAAAGAATAAACAAAGCAGAAGCAACATCAGGTCCAGCTTTGCATTCATTCAGCACGGTTTCCTTTTCCCCCCATACAAGTTGAACCTCCATGATGACCTGAAGCCTCATTATCGTAAAAATCCTATAATGATCTTTTTTGGTCCCAAGGCTTCTGGAACCTTCTTGCTCATAAGTCAGAGAACTTCCTCCAGCATTGCTAGGTTCAACCAATCAAAGGGGCCCACATAAGGTCCTGCTTCCCCTGAACCCTGTGGGACAGCATCTAGGTTCCTAACTCCACGTGTGCCGCTGACGAGGAGGGCCCCATACCTCACAGCCGTCGCCTATCATCCACTCGATCACGTTGCAGTGGCCTCCATCTGCAGCCCAGTGCAGAGCTGTGCAGCCTCCCAGGTCTCTGGTGTCCCAGGAAGCACCGTGTCTTCGGAGATATTTCACAACATCCAGGTGTCCCGCGTAGCATGCAAGCATCAGGCTGCAACACACAGCAGAAGAAACATTTGGCTATTGAGTGCAGTCACCACACTCAGGTCCTTATTTATCCTCCCTGGTTTAAACATGAGAGAAATCCTAATTTGGGTGGAAAAGTCAAGAAAATTATTCACATAACATGTATGTGTCTATCAACTAATAAATCGACTGTGGTATATCCATTCAATAGAATATAATTCAGCCATAAAAAGGAAATTAAGTACTGAAATAGGCTACAACATAGATGCACCTTAAAACATTATGCTAAATAAAAGTAGCCAGACACAAAAGGCCATGTGGTGTATTAGTTCATTTATATTAAATATCCAGAATAGACAAATCCATAGAGACAGATTAGTGGTTTTCAGGGCTGGAGGGAGAGGAAATGGAGCATGACTGCTAATTAATTCAGAGCTTCCTTCTGGATTGATGAAAATCCTCTGGAATTATAGAGTAATGGTGGTTGCACAACTTTGTTAATATATTTTTAAAGGCTGAATTGTACATTTTAGCAAAATTAATTTTATGGCATGTGAATTAAACCTCCAAAAAATGAATAATCACTATAATTGTGTAAAATGTCAGATTTAAAAAACACCTACCAGTCCATGATGATATTTAAAAGAGGAAAAGAAAAAAAAATCTTACTGGACACTATTAGAGATAACCATTAAATGAAATCCTTACTCTAAATATTGGTACTTGAAAGAAACATTTTATTGTGCTTAAAATAAACATTTGTGTCGTGTTTATAGAATAAAATGAGTCCATCCTCAGTCGGTGGGGGAAAGCTCTTGTTAAAAGAAGACTATCAGTGAATAAATACAGGAAGAATCATGGAATCAGAAAATCACTTTTTGGCAAGTCCCAATTAAACAATTGATTTGGGCAAGGATCATGGTGGATGCTAAAATTTTGTATGAAAGGTTAATGGAGAATAGGATATTCACGTGGTACTGAATTCCTAGGACACAGATTATTTTCTAATTGCAATGGGAAACTATTATCTTTACAAAAGAAGGATTTAGCTGTTATACCCTAACCAAAGGATCTGAACTAGAATATCCAACTGTGGGACAACCTGCATCACAGCCCTGAAAACTGAAGTCACAACACTGGCCCTGAGATGCTCTTGCTAAAGATGTTAACCTGAATCAAATCAATCTGTTAAACCTAATTTAACTTTATTAGGAGTAANTAACCCCTCCTACATGATTCCCTTAGTTGGAATGGAAAAGATACATAAATGTCTTCACATAAAGACATGCAAATTGCTTTCTTTCTACCAGATTTTAGCAATAAGGCTATCTTCTGTAGCTTTCCAACTTCTCTCTGCTCTGGAAAAGTTCAAGGTTACCATCAGTACCTAGAAAATCTGAACAAGTTCATTAGTAGAACAGACAAACCACAGAACCTATTTTGGATGTAATCTTTTTAATATATTTTCCAGTTTATTGTATGGATATGGGTTATTTCAGATGTTCTGCTTATTGGGTTGATTTTAATGGTTTCAATTTTCTCTAAAATAAATAAGTACCCATTTCAATGATTTGATCAAATCTATTTTAGACACAAATGTACCACTTTCTTTTAATGTTTAAATTTTCTCTATTCTGTTATGAGTCATTTCAGATTTCTAATTTTTCCTTCTGAGATTTATAAGAAATTGGTCCATTTTATTTCTCAACAATTTTTATTTTTAATCAATTTCTATTTTTAAAAAATTCATTTTGGGGGGTACCGCTCAGCTTTTTCTTTTCTTTTTCCTTTTTATGGCTCTATTATTTTTCTTCACACTCCAGGATGTCTGACTCTAGGTGGGTGACCACACACCATTGTGGTTTAGTTCCAAAATTACCTAAGAGTTACTTGAAACACTACTGTTTACATGTATAAGTGATTGTTTCAATGTTACTAAAATCTGTTGCTGTACTATGTCCAGAGAGTGCAGTAGGCAGGCTTTCTGACTTTGGAAGTTGATGTTCTCTTCACAGCCACCCAGGCATGATCAGGGTCTTCAGCCACTCTTCACAAACCCGTTTGCAGTGCAGACACCTTTACTCTACATCCATCACATGACTACAAGCTCCTTGAGCAGAGGCTTTGCATTTTGTTCACTGTTCTACCAAGTGCCAAGCACGGTGGAGCCTGGCGTGTGGCAGTCATTCAGTAACTATTGGTTGATTTGAATTAATTAACTAAGCAATCACTAGAGTTCAGTTAGTTATATCAGTCGTGTCCGGCTCTCTGCGACCCCATGGACTGCAGCCTACCAAGATCCTCCGTCCATGAGATTTTCCAGGCAAGAGTACTGGAGTGGGTTGCCATTTCCTTCTCCAGGGACTAGCTGGATGATTAATTTTGAGTCTTTCTAAAAAATTCTCTCATCATTATAAGAGCAAGTTTGTGAGTATCATGTTCTTTTCATAAACTTCTCCTGTGATGCACTCGGTCCTTCCACCTCAGGGAGGTTCTCCAGTTGTACTGTCATGATTGTTCGTTTCTCTGGAAGCATCTAAGACTTTCAGTTAACAGGGTCCGGTGAAATGCCGTGAGAAGCCTTAGGGAGATGCAAAGTGTCACAGGCACTCACAGCCAAATGCCCAGCACACAGCTGGAGATAACCATTTCAACATCCAACATTTTACTGGACGCGGAGAGCGTGCTGGGCTCTGAGCGAAGGAGGGAAGATGCATTACAATAGATACCCCCGGAATTACCCTGTTGAATGTAACAATAAGTAACAGGTGAACAAGCCAGCTTTTGAGTCACCATCCTTCCTTTGGGAACCTATCACGTCTCAGTACTGTCAAAAGAAACAAGAAAATATTGGGGTTCAGTGGAAGACCCTCTGGGAGCAAGCCCACTAACACGAGCATGGGCACCACTTAGGGCAGGTCCCACACCTACCTGTCCTTGCCACTTCCATTCTGCAAATTCACCCCACACCTACCTGTCCTTGCCACTTCCATTCCGCAAATTCACATCTGTGCCGTGAGAAACGAGGATTTTCACAAGCCTAAACAAAACAAATTTCAGTACCACTGGATAAGCAGCTTTGATGAGTAAGAACCCATGGTAACCCAGGAAAAACGAACAACTCTCTATTTAAGATCTATCATGGCAACACACTCTCATCCGTCTTCAGAGGCAGCTGGCTTTAAAGACCACCTATTATTAAGCTGGGAAACCGCCTCTCCACACCAAAAAAAAAAAAAGTTTTTGCCCTTTATGTGAAATTATTCATTGAAAACAAAAAATTTTACCACATGAAACAAACCAGACTATCAAACCAACTCGTTGTCACTTTAACAGCCATTTGAAATGTTTTTAAATGGTAGCATTTAATGGAAATCCATTTTATGTTTCTTTCAAAATGGCATTTTAGTAGTTAAAATATAAATATGATGGAAAAAATATTAGTATTTATGCTTATCTGTGTGGAGTAGACAAAATGGACTGTGTCCGCAGAAATTTTATCTGAGCAACCTATCAGAGAAGTTTGTTTTCCAGAATGAATAGCCCTCCCCTTTTCTTTATGAAGAAATTAATATTCCAATAACCAGTTTCCCCAGGCCATATAAAATACCTTGCAAAATATCATTGAAATGGCCACCTCTCTTCTTTACCATGAGATTATACATTATATCCTCCCCTGCATGTTGTTTGATGTTATGATAAGAGCCACTGAGATGGTGTTCAGCCCCCATGTGGCACAGTTTCGGAAAGAGAACCCCCACAGCCTTTCCCCTCCCAAACAAGGGGCCCAACCCTTCGCTAAGGGGTGAGCAGGGAAGGGCCATACCTGGTGTATCCTCTCTGGGCAGCGACCATCAGGGCAGTAAAGCCAAATTTATTGGGAACATCAACCTTCACGTTGCTTGGGGAAAACACAGAGAAAGAGAGATTAGTGCGCCTGCGTCACTCCCGTGGATTCACAGCTGTCCTCTCTTGCAGAGCACAGGTGGTTAGAATGGTTCATTTTCCTGAAAATTCCAACTCCTCCTAGGCCATTAAGTTGCTATTGTCTTGGACTGCCCTGCCTAATATGTTAAAGGATCCAAATTCACAAGGAAAGAGGAGGAAATTGCTGTAATCTCACTTGAAATAGGCATTTTCTCCAATGCAGAACCATTATGCAATTCGATAAAATCTTCCGCCAAAAGCAGGCCCCCCTAAACTATGGCGAGGACACAGTGTCTGCACTGCGGGCTCTCGGCTCCACCCGCCACGGGAGCCTGGAGTGAGGGAGAGCCACAGTTCTCCCTTGACCCCGTCCCACCTACTGGGCATGAAGCTCTGCTGCTCAGAGAAAAAAGCCACGCTCTTAAATAGCAGCTTTGGAAGCTGTGGCTTTTTGCAGGAACCTTCTCTTCTCCAGTTTACAGAGCCTCAATTCAGAGATGACCTGCCGTCTAAGTGAAAGTCGCTCGGTCGTGTCCGACTCTTTGCGACCCCATGGACTGTACAGTCCATGGAATTCTCCAGGCCAGAATAATGGAGTGGGTAGCAGCTCCCTTCTCCAGGGGATCCTCCCAACAGGGATCAAACCCAGGTCTCCCACATTGCAGGCATTCTTTACCAGCTGAGCCGCAAGGGAAGCCCCATCTTCTAAGACACTCAAAGCTATCAATTCAAAAAGGGTCTGGGTAACATCGCCCCCTTTTCATTCGGGAAGCAGCTGTGGATAGCCCATCTGTGGCATTCACGGTCACCATTTCCCCTCTAGGGTTTTATCAGTCACTTGAATTAGAGACAGCTGATTGAGTGATTCCTTAATTTCATCAGGAATTAGACATGGGCAGTTAGGGGTGAAATTTGCCCAAATGCTATGGCATATAAGCAAGAATCATAAGTTATTTCTGGGAGGAAAATGAGACACCCAGACTTGGCGTTTCTGTCTTCAGTGTTCATTAAATAATGGCATTTATGTGGGGCTTTCTACGACCGTCCTTATGAACCAGGCAGAACTCACACCAGTCACCTGAGATCAATTTTGGAGCCAGCTTCTAAGCACTGCTGTGAATTTTAAAAGACCTAAGTGTTTAAAAGGCAGAGGTCTCTCACCCTCCTTGCAGAATGTGCACCAACAGATCTTCATCGTTCACGTTGACAGCTCTGTGCAAGTGTTCGCTACTTATGGGTTCTCCTGAAGAAAGCAGATGGAAAGCAGTCATCCAAAACATAATGAAAGGAGATTCATTCCAGCTCTGTTCCTCCTGCGGCCTCGAGTGGAAGTTCATGTTCACCTCTAAGGAGGCGCTTGGCAACTTTGCTGAGTGTCTCTTACACAACACACTCCACTCCTCTACTGAAAAAAGACCTTGTTTTCACATATTAAGAGAAGAACATTTAGACTGTCCTAAAGGCTTGGGATGTTTTCAAGTTATAAAAGTACTGCTGTGTGGATGTTGTTTTGATATTCGAAAAATAAACCTTTCAGATTTCTTAAGACTTCACAAACGTCTCCTACAAGCAAGGGGAAGCTCCAGCATCATCACGATGGGCTGGTTTTGTTTGCCAGGGAATCACTAAGCCATGTGAACAACAAACAAGAAAGGACAGACGGTTTTAACAGTGGGAGCCCACCACGTCAGCCCTTCCCTGGGAACACAGCATCCACGTCGGCCCTGTGGGGGCAGAAGGGCCTGTACCCAGAGAGCTGGACCCAACACGGTGAGAAGGCCCCACAGTGGGGGCAAGCCTGCCAAGTGGGGCAGCCAGGGAAGGATTCCGAGAAACGGTAGAGGAGAAACAGAAGGCAGAAGAGAGGCCCTTTGTGCGGTGACTCCTCGCGGGAGAGAATGGGGCCGACGTTCACAAAGGAGCCGTGTGAGAGTGCAGGACCCTGTGAAAGAAGCCGTCCAGCCGGACGTTTATTTCACGGCTTCACGTGTTTCAGCTTCCATGACTTTCTGCCTTTGTCGATGATTCAGTTTAAATGAAATAATGCAGAGCACTAGACCAGCACCTGCACGTTATTTAAGTGTCTTTAGTGGTAAGAAAAAAAAATCCACATGCAATACAGGAGATGTGGGTTCAATTCCTGGTTGGGAAGGTCCCCGGGAGAAGGGACTGGCAACCCACTCCAGTATTCTTGCTGGGAGAATTCCATGGGCAGAGGAGGCTGGCGGGCTACAGTTCATGGGGTCACGAAGAGTCGGACACGACTGAGCACACACACACATGCAGGTAACAGTGACGGAGTGGCAGGTGCCCTGGTCCCGAGCAGCCTACCTTTCTCCTCTGCCTGATGTCCAACCTCCCACACACAGTAGCATCCTACCTGCCCCCACAGGCATCGAGCTGATAATCCCTGGCTTCAGTCATCTCAAAGGGCTCGTTCATCTAACAAATGTCTAAGGAACTTAGTCAGGTATGGATGGGAGAGCTGGACCATAAAGAAAGCTGAGTGCCGAAGAATTGATGCTTTTGAACTGTGGTGTTGGAGAAGACTCTTGAGAGTCCCTTGGAAAGCAAGGAGATCAAACCAATCGATCCTAAAGGAAATCAGTCCTGAATATTCATTGGAAGGACTGATGCTGAAGCTGAAACTCCAATACTTTGGCCACCTGATGTGAAGAACTGGCTCCTTAGAAAAGACCCTGATGCTGGGAAAGATTGAAGGCGGGAAGAGAAGGGGATGACAGAGGATGAGATGATTGGATGGCATCACCGACTCGATGGACGTAAATTTGAGCAAGCTCGGGGAGTTGGTGATGGACAGGGAGGCCTGGAGTGCTGCAGTCCATGGGGTGGCAGAGTCGGAGACGACTGAGCAACTGAACTGAATTAAGTAATGTCCATGCCCGGTCTTCAGTCTAGGGGGCACCAGAGAGAAAGAGACACACACAGGTTCCTCTCCTGTCCTTCACACTGTGGGGCTGGCTTTCAGCCATTATATTCTCAACTCTGAAAGAAAATATCCCCAGCAACCCTCTTCTCGCGTTGCACCTCATGCTGCCTCCTGGGGCTCACCCCACACCTTACCCTCCCTCTTAGGCTCAGCCTGCAGAAGCCCCTGGTCACCTGTGCCAGTGGAGAAACGGTCTGGGGTGCCAGCTCCCAGCACTGGAGAGCTTTCCTGCTGGACTCCCTGGACGATTCTCCCTGGACAGAGTACAAGCCGGGAAACAGCGGGGCAGAGGAATGAATGGATCGCTATCAGAGTGACCATCAGCTGATACCCCTGCTTCTGTTCCGGTAAAATAAATTTAAGCCAAGTGAAAATTGTTCTTGAGACAGCCATGTTGTCTGCTTGAGCGTGCCAGTCTTCTCAAGGTGTCTCAGCTATGTTATACTTCCTTTTCATCGTCCCACACATAGCTTTAGACCCAGAGCCTTAAAGAAAAGCAGCAGGATAAGCCATCGGAGGACAAGGCCCACGGCTGGCCCTGGCTTTTGCAGAGAGGTCATCTCGAGACCCTTGGTCTCACGAGGGGCGATGGGAGGGCACAGTGGTTTGCACCAGACTTTGTGGTGAAGTCTGGTGATATTTCTGGTTGTTACAACTGAAGGAAGGGTTGGTACTACTGGCATCTAGAGGCTGGAGGTCAGGGATGCCTCTAAACACTCTGCAGACCAGGTTAGCCTCACAGCGTGAATTATCCATCCCCAGACGCCAACGGTGCAGAGGCTGAGTTGAACACTAGAGCTGGATGGACTTAAAATGGTCTATCCTTTAGTGAGCAAACGAAACCCAAAGTTCCCTTTCCCTCTCCCTTCCTGGAAAGGAGAAGGATGGTGTGGTGGGTAAGTCTGTTATTGCACCAGAACAACCCCATCCCTGTGAATCGCAAACTTCAATTGCCACTAAAAACACAAAAATACATGATTTGCATGGAATCGTTTAGAGGAACATAGTAACAGCATTAGTCGCTCAGTTGTGCCCAACTCTTTGGGACCCCATGGACTGTAGATCTCCAGGCTCCTCTGTCCATGGAATTCTCCAGGCAAGACTGCTGGAGCGGGTTGCCATTGCCTTCTCCAGAATTGTCTAAAAGAACATAGGAAGCTCATCCTATTTCTACTGAATTTTAAAGTACGGTATCCTAATTCGATCCTATTAACTGAGTCTAGAACTTTACATGATCCTTTTAGATTCTCCTTAAGACCACAAACCAGGACAAGAAAGGCTAAGGGAGTCATTCAAGGAAGGAGTGTGGGGTTTCAATAGATGCTGACGTAGCTGACCAGTCCACTCTAGGCTTCCACTCTCACTAAACGCTGGATACAAGCAGACATCTTAAATACACACCTATGAACAAGTGTGAAGAGGAACAGAAGGCCTAAAGCTTAGAAACCTTCAGAAATGTATTGACTTCTTGGGATTTGAAGGAAAGCCCAAAATGCACACACAGCCCCCAGCACAGTACCCCCGACCACCTCCAGTCCACGTCGTCCCTCTTCTCCACCCCAGCACACCTCTCCTGGTGTGGGCACTCCCCGTCCCAGCCAAGGAGCTCTGTGGCAGGCAAATACCAGAAAATGAAGGAAGTTCATTTCACGCTTAAACACTTGACGACCATGCATAGCAGAGACCAGGGTATCATGATATTAGGATGTAATTTAAATAAATGTACCCCGGAGGCTCAAATGGCAAAGAATCTGCCTGCAATGCGGGAGACACGGGTTTGATCCCTGGGTCGGGAAGATCCCCTGGAGAAGAAGATGGCAACCCACTCCAGTATTCCTGCCTGGAGAATCCCATGGACGGAGGAGCCTGGTAGGCTACAGTCCACGGGGTCGCAAAGAGTCAGACATGACTCAGCAGCTAACACAACACACTGCCTGTCCCAGCTTCTGGAAGGGGTCATCAGAACCCTCTGAACTCATTCTGAGAACAAAGGGACACCTCATGGAAGAGAAGGAAAAGAACACAGTTGCTCACCACGCCCTGGTCTCTGAGCTCCAGCAAAAGGAAGCAGTAACTGTCATCAGGGATGGAAGTTCTGTCTCAGCATTAACTCACTGACCCTCTCAGAGCCCTGCCAGGAAGGCAAAGAGGTACCAAGTGTGACCACCAGCCCCGACAGGGACCACCAAGGCTTGAAAGGTCTCACTGGTCACAGGAATTGGCAGAGAAACAGAAAAGAAATGCAAACACTCCTCTTTGCAGGGCAGAGCAGCTCCTCCCACTCCCACTCTAGGCAGGAGTCAGGAAGAACAGAGAGGAAATTCCAGGGTGAGCAGAATGTTTCAGTTCACCGCCCCCAAGCCCTTCAAGACACCGTGGGCCTGGTCCAAGGGACTGCCATCAGTATGTGCAATGGAATATGACAAAGGCAGGCTTTGCATCTGTGGGTCTATTTCTCTGATGTTGACCTCGGGTGTCGTGATTCCAAATACTGATTTGATGCCGCCGGTGGTGAAGACACCCTTGGGCATCCACGTGTGTTAGACTGGTGGCACTGGTCAGGCGGGACCTCGGGAGAGGATACCTGGCCAGGAGGAGGAGGGGACAGAGAAGCATTTGGGAAGCCTCAGCTCACGTTCTCTAGGAGGGTCATTTAGCTGCAGATGTCCCGGCAGATATTGAAGCAGCATGATAACACCTTTCCTGGTGGAATTTAAGTCTCTATTAAAAACAGTGAATAAATGATGAGTTCATTGGGGAAAATATTTGCCAATTAACAAGCAGCAGCTGTTTTTCTTTCTTTTTAAGGGCCCAACTGATTAAAATTGCATGCCTCATTTAAGCAAGAGTCTCGTGTACTTTACCTGGGAAAGGGAAGAGAAAAAAAAAGGCTGAGCATCCTTTATTCAAACAAAGTACATGCTTTTGTGATTCATTAAAACACTTTCAAACCGAATGCAAATTATCAACCCACAGAAGCATTTTCACTTGTTTTATATAATGTGCACATTTTTAATTCTTTGTTTAGCATGATCTGCCTCCTTAAGAGAGTCTGCTTTGTATATTACAGTAACAGCCTAAGTGAGCAGCTGCCAGCCAGAAGGAAGAGGTGCCCGATCCTTCCCACCTAGGAGAGGGCCCTGAGGCCTGGCGTGCGTCCTGGGTGCAGGCGCGTGCACTGTGACCTGGAGCCCGGCTCCCGGGGTGTCTTTACCAGGAGCCTTGTCTCCAGCCCACCCCCGTCCCTGCAGGAGGCCTTGTCTCTCGACCCACAGAAGCCGTGGACTGCAGTGACAAAGGCTGTGGACCAGCGGACCAGTTATCCACGGCTGCCTCTTCAAAGTCCACTCGGCAAGAAGGCACACCTGGCTTGCAGACACCACCATTGTCAGCTGATAGACCAAGAGCTATGGTGGGTGCAGGGGTCCTCTGCCTTCCTAGAAGAACTTCAGATGGTGCCCTGACTCCCCGTAACCTCCGGCCACAAGGCCCAGGAGCCCCTGCCCTGGCTTGGGTGGGATACTAAGGATGCCAGCGGCCACCAGTGGTCTCTCTGCTCCCAGTTCCGCTCATCTGGCAAGTTCAGGGGCGTCTCCCCAGCCAGAGGGAACCAGACCCTTCTCCTGAGACACAGGAAAGCAAGTCGAGCCAATCAGAGCATCTCCTCCTCCTCCTGGTTCTGTCTCGGGGCATTTTGTTCACTATCCGCCCATGCATGTCTTAAGGATCTTCTATAATGAGACATGACTAACCCATCACCCTCGGCCTTCAGTACACAGGAGGTGGGAGCCAGGGAAGACGAGTGGCTTTGTAAAATGAGGCGATGGAGTGTTGCGAGAGGTGGGGAGACCCTGAGACACGGCTCTGTGCTGGGGGAGGACCTGAGCGCCCGGCAGGCCAGGGGCAGCCCCACGAGGACCCATCCGGAGCAGGGCTCTGCCCCCAGAGTGGACTTGACAGGCCCAGGAGTGGAGGGGAGGGAACCCCAGAACACAGGGGTGGAGCCACCGGAGGGCGGCCGAGAGCTGAACGCTGGCCTGGGGGAGCCGCCTGCCCCAAACCTGGCCTCCGGAGCCCCTCTTCACGCGATGGGCTCCCTTCGCCCACGCTTCTCCTCTCTGCTCTCCTCCCTTCTCTGTGCCTTCCCCCAGTGCACGAAGAACTAACACAGGGTCTGCCTTTCCTTTCCCCTAAAACACTCCAGGAGCTCAACAGGTTCCACAGAAAAGCAAGTGCGTTCATCCTCTCCAGCTTCTGGGCCAAGCCGTCTTTTCTGACCACAATCTTCGGAATTGACCATCTCATGTCAAAAACCTTCTCTGAAACTATATTTCTTCACAATCAGCTGAGCACCGTTTAGGGGGTGTACACGATGTCACCACCCTTAGCTTTAACTAAATTCTCAGCTTGCTAAACCGAAACCTAACCCCCTAACGGCCCCCATGTAATGGAAGCTGTTGATGAACCAACTCAAAATCTGAATGATCTTTCCTGCACACGAAAATGAGCAAAGGCCTTACAGACACAACTGAAACTCACTGCAAACTTATACACCCGTATTCAAGCCAAATGCTACACTGAGTGAAACTTGGAAATAATATTTAACTCACAAGAGATGGATTCCCTTTATGCAACCGAGAAAAGGTTTTAGTGAGTGGGCTGGCAGGAACACTTTTGACCATTTTAATCTTCACAGAATTCTAGTTCAAAGAGGTCATTGCATTACACACACACACACACCTTCAAAATGCTTTAAAATACTGATCACGGGGCTTCCCTGGTGGCACTGTAGTGAAGAATCAGCCTGCCAGTGTAGGGGNGACAAAATGCCAAGCAGGCCTCTCCCGAGGTCACCCAGGCGGGCAGCCTGCTTCTCGGCCTGGGAACCCTTGGGGCGGCCCACATGCCTCCCAGCCCGTTTCCTAAGAAAGGTGACTCCATCCCTTTCTTCCTGAATGTGCCCTCCCAGGGCAGCGCCGGCACAAAAACAGGTCTCACGTTTGTCCGAGCATAACGCGACTTCCCTTGTGGGACGGCCAGGCCCGGCCCACGAACAGTGTTATCGCGGTGTTCAAAAACGGAGCGGTTTCTGCGTCCGGTCAGGCTGAGCAGAAAGCAGAGCGTCTTACCCTTCACGCTGGCCGGTCACCGTCAGACAAAGGAGCTCCGAGTTCTGAATACTCACGGGTCGTGGATACGGAGACCACCGGGCTGTAGGCATGCTCTCCGGAGGGGCTGGTGACCTTGAGCCGGAATCGGTACAGGGTCCGCGGTTCCAGGCCTTCCACCACGTGCTTGGTCGCGTAGCCCCTAGGCGGGAGGGAGACCGCGGTGAAGACAGCAGGTCACGGAGGCGGCGTCCTCTCGAGCTACTAGAAGGGCGGGTGGAAGGATTTCTGAGCACTGACTCCCCCCCCAGTACGGAACTCACCTGGATGGCCGGCTGTCGCTCACCTTGGGCTGAACTCCTGGGCACAGAGGACAAACCAGGCGTCCGCTCCTGCCCCCCAGGTGCCCTCCACCCCAGTCTCCCTCCCGCAGGGCGGACGCGCAGCTGGCCCGTGACTGTGTACAGTAAGGCCCCACACGAGAACCTCCAAGCTGTGGACTTGCAGAGACATGAGCGTGTGTGCACGTGTCCAGTCATGCCGGTTGTTAGTTCACGTGTCTGGCGTACACTGTCACATGTGTGCACCCTCCAGGAGGCCGTGCACAGGAGGCCGTGCTCCTGTGTGCTTTTGTTTGCTTAGTTATGCATCATTCACGTGAAAAGCGTGACAAGCCTGATACAGTCGTCCGGAGCCGGCTGTGTTGGTTCAGAACCAAGGCTCCCTTTGCTGGACTCACAGAGTGGACTTACCAACTCGCTCTGGGAACGGACCTCACTCGTACGTAAGGGACTTACTGTACTGCGGACAGACGATCACCTTGACCCATGATATCTGTCCTCAAATGGCAAAGTCTCACAACTGGAAGCCAAGCTCGGCAGTCCGAGAGCACACACGAGCTGCCTGGGGCGGGGGTTTCGAGCAGGCGGACGAGGCAAAATGCCCTGGGCAGGGAGGGGCCGTGAGGAAGAAGAGGGTGTGAGGAAGGAGGAGCAGCCGTGGGGAGACGGGCGGTGCAGGAAGGGTGCTCTCGTCACGCCCTGCGGTCCATCTCAGCGGGGAATTGTTTGCGGGAAGTGGGTGCTGAACGCTTGGAGAACAGAAAGCTGGCTAGAGGCTGTGACGGAAACCTGCAGGCCTCTGGAGGCAAAGGTGGGGATCAGAGCACTTGGAGCCGCAAAAGGAGCCCCGGGAAAGGCAGGCAGGCCGTGCTGCTGGCTCAGGACTCGGAGAAGGTGCCGGGAGGCAGGGCCAGGGGCCTGTGTCCAGCTCGCCACACTTTCTAGGACGCCAGGTCTCCAAAAGCCCACGAACTTGTATGTCATCCCAGCGGTGCCCCCAACCTCGAGTTGTCCACAGATGTCCCCTGCTAGCCTCTTTCTCTCACATCCTGTGCCTGGTCCACCAGCAAAAGTTTTCAAAATGGTCTTTAAAAACCCTGAGTTCACCAGTGTCATCTCCCACCGAAATTATTACAGACGATCCCCAGTTAGTCCTCCCTGCTGTGGCGGCCTCGGCTCCTCCCTCAGCAGCCAGAGTGACCCTCCCGGGGCGAGACCACCACGCCCCTCCACAGTTTAACGGGGCCCAGTGGCTTCTCCCCTGGCAGAGGGGCAGCCCCTGGGACCCCGGGGGTCTCCTCCCTGGCCCAGCCCAACACCCCTATCATTCACTCCACTGCTCAGCGTTTCTGGAACTCCAGGCATTTTCACCAGCTGCATCTTCTGCCCGGGACGTTCTTCCAGACACTCACAGATACCCCTCCCTTGCTCCTTCACACAGATGTCACGATCAGTGAAGCCTTCTTCACCTCCACGCCAAGCTCCCGGCTTTTCCTCCTTGGTACTCACCACCATCCGACACACTCTAGGTTTTCACTTCTCTCCCTTCCTTATCATTCCTATTCCTTATCACAAGGGAGGAATTAGGGTCTGTTTGTCCAGTGTTGTATCCCCAGCTACCAGAACATGCCTGGCACATAGTAGGTGCTGATTGAATGAATGAATGAAATGCTGCTGCTGCTGCTAAGTCGCTTCAGTCGTGCCCAACTCTGTGCGACCCCATAGACAGCAGCCCACCAGGCTCCGCCGTCCCTGGGATTCTCCAGGCAAGAACACTGGAGTGGGTTGCCATTTCCTTCTCCAGTGCAGGAAAGTGAAAAGTGAGAGTGAAGTCGCTCAGTCGTGGCCGACTCTTCGCGACCCCATGGACCGCAGCCTACCAGGCTCCTCCATCCATGGGATTCTCCAGGCAAGAGTACTGGAGTGGGGTGCCATTGTCTTCTCTGAATGAAATGCACAATAGGGGAAATGACTATTGGAGGAATTTAGAGGGGTAGATAATAGGAGAGCAAAGGGAACATCTCAGTCAAGAGAGAACCTGACTTGGATGGAGGGAAGGATGGAGCGGGGGGAGATTGGTCTGAACAGGGAAAACAGCTGAACACACATGCAAGAAAAGTCAAGGCATCATCGTCCAAGGAAGTGAAGCAGATTTCAATGGAAGGTTCATGCTCAGAAATAAGAGACAGGAAGAAAGGCAGGTGGTGGGCAGACTGAAGCGCATCAAATGTTAGTCTGCGAGAGCCTGACCTTCATCCTGCAAGCAATGGAAACGCATTGCAGACAGCGTGACAAAAGGAAGGTTAAAGAACAGAATGAACCCAGCAAGACTGAAGGAAAGAACAGAGGGATGTGGACAATGACATCAGCCACTGCGGACAGCGGGAGGACCTGGGCACTCAGCAGTGACAACTCAGAAAGCATCCTCCGTGCAACCTAGCAAGGGACGTGCCGGAGTCGAACGAGAGAAAGCACATAAATGATGTGCAGAGGGAGAACTCACAGAAGCCTGATCACGGGCTGCGAGAAGGAGCGCCTGCGTCGAGGACGACAGCCCCGATCCTAGACTGGCTGGTGGGGCAGAAGGACAGAAACTGACGTGTCGAAACGAAGTTCTTAAGTCCACACGCCCGAGGTCAGGGAGTCTAGATCACCGCTTTTTTAAAGGAAGGCAGTTCCTAGTTTTAACGATACACCTGGGGGGAAAGGGATGGACCCGAGGAAAGAGCTCCAGATTAGAGCGGTCTCGCTCTGCCACCTAGTGTCAAGGCTGTGCTAATCCTCTGAGACAGCCTGAGCGTCACAGCTGTGGCTTAGGGCTGGGGGTCTGAAGGCCTCGGAACAGGTCCTGCAATGCCAGGCGAGCTTCCAGGCCAGACAGCACTCAGGTCTCTGAGAAACCCAGGCTGGAGGCCAGTGGACATGACCGATCACCCAGCAAAGGAGATATGGAGGCGGGAAGTAAAGGGCCCCCAGGAGGGTCCCGCCTGACGTCTCCAAGCTCGGCTCACGGCAGCAGGAGAGACAGGAGGAAAGGGAGTGGACCTTTTCCCTCTACACAGGGATACTTGTTATATCATCATTCATGCTTTGCGGTGGGTTTGTTTTTCTCAGGTAAGTGTATATATATATATTTTTTTTCCTAGGCACAAAGAATCAATCATCAAACCGCAAGGATACCGTGGTTTGGGTATGCACCCCCACCACAATGCCACCTTGAGCGAAGTCCAGCCAAGCGCTGCAGCTGTTCTGCATCGCGACTGCATCATCGCCAGGATCCTGGCTATGACTCCGCCCTATGGTTTCCCCTGACGCCCCCACTGGGGAAAGTGTAAGAGGTTCGCGGGATCGCTCCATAGGATTCCTCACAGCCAGATGTGAAGCTGCGATTATGTCAAAATTAAAAGTTTAATATAAAACCATACTGGTTCCTCATTTTCAGTCTTCTTCCTGAAACACAAAGTCATTTTACCAGCAGTAGAGCTGGCAAAGGAAGAAATAAGGATTGAAGTAAAAGCTAAGGGGGGGGGGGTGAAAAATGACTTCCTGATACAGGTCTTTTGAGCGCCTCCCATGTGCCGACACTGTCTGGGAGCTGGGGAGAGAGTCTGAAGCAAAGCCGGAATCTTACCTGCCTCTCGTGGAGCTCAGATGCTGGGGTGGGGGGACAGGAAATGAAGAGACCAAGAGCAAAATGACCCCAGCAGAGCCAGGCGTCCCGAGAAGATGAAGCCAGGTCACCGCCGGGAGGAGAGCGGGCTGGAAGCACGGCCACCTCGGGGAGCCTTTGCAGGAGGGGCCAGTATTTGATATGACGCATGCGTGGTGTGAGGGAACCAGCTGTGTTAAAGGCAGAAGGAGCACTTCGCCGGTGGCGGAGTGGATAAGAGTTCTCCTGCCGAAGCAGGGCACAGGGGTTCGATCCCTGGTCCCAGAAGATCCCACATGCTGAGCAACCAAGCCTGTGTGCTGCAAGTACTGAGCCCATGCTCCACAACTGCTGAGCCTGCATGCCTAGAGCCTGTGCCCTGCGACTAGAAAAGTCATCTCAGTGAGAAGCCAGCGTACTGCAAAGACGAGCAGCCCCCACTCGCCACAACGAGTGAAAGCCCGTGCAAAGCCATGAAGATCCAATGCAGCCACAAAAAATAAAACAAATAAAAACAGAAGGGAACACATTCAAGGGGAAGGCGAAAAGCCAGGCCCTGATGGAGGTGAGGGAGGTAGCAGGTGGGTTGGAAGAGCCAGTGAGGGACCAGTGATGCAACGTAAGTGTCAGGGAGTTGTCACACCTGTGCCCAGGGCAGCCTGATGGGAACCTCATGCAATTTCATCCAACTCTCCTCTGATTCTGTCTCCACATTTTGGATTTGAAATATACTCCATTAGAATATTTCAGAAGCCTACAGAGCTCTCAGAGGTCTAGGCGGTTTAATTTCAAAGTGACTGCTCACCCTTCTTTTCCGAAATTCATCCTTCACAGAAAGAATGAATGCAAATGATGCTCTCTCATCCTTTTAATTTCAAAAAACGAGTCTTCTTGGAGACTACAGAAACCAATCCAGCTAATCGAGAAACCAAAGCAAAATATTAAGCAATTCAACATTGCACCTACGTATAAATGATACCATAAGTGTGCAGTTTGGGGTCCTCTTCTTCGATAGAAAACCTGAACCACTGCTCCTGGGGCCCCTGCCGCTTTGCTTTCTTCTCCAGATCCCAGTATAATTCAATGCTGTGATGAGTCACTTTGCCCACAACAGGCGGATGAGGCTTTGAGGATGATGTGATTTCTAGAAAAGAAAAAACGATACAGTATTTCAGGGCTCTTTTCCCATAAGGACAAAAGAGACTGGCTGAGTGTGGCTCGAAGATCAGCTGTGTTTTCCTCTACATCAGGCATACAAGCAGGTACGTCTCCCTGTGGTTTGAAGAACCTTGGAAAAGCATTAAGTGATAGAAAATCAGCTCACAGCTGATGCAGTGAGCTACCACGTTCATCAACGAGGAGACTGCATCTTACCCATCGACCTCACACTTCATCCATCCAAAAGGTTGGTTAACTTATGGAACAAATTAGGGTGTTCTCTGAGCTGATGAAACACAGTTTGCCGCTATCATCCTTCAGTGAACTGGCTGGTAAGCAAAGTCAGTAGACAAATTAAATCGCTGGTCCAGATGTTCGTAACACAAGATGACAAAGAGTTGATATCGATTCTATATAAACAGCTCTCACAAACTAACCAAGGGAAAAACCCAAAGGGTAATAATAACAACCAGGCAAAAGATGAGCAGTAGATGAAACAGTAAAAATAACCAACAATTTCCAAAAAGACATTTATATTGCCTAGTAGCCACAGAAATGGGTAACGATGTCAGACACTTAAAAGGAGTTTTATAACCATTAGAAGTGACCATGTGGGGAAAGGACACTTATACATTGGTTGGGGGGGGAGGGGTGGTGTGGAGTATGAATTCTAGCCTTTTTAGAAAGCAATAAGGCAGCATCTATTAAAATTAGAAATACATACCCCCTCGTCTGCAACCATGCCAGTCTTGGTAGACTCTCCTGCAGAAATCTGACACACAGGGACATATGCATGGTATGAGGACATTAACTGCTACAGCGTTTACCCAATTACAGCAAAAAAGGAGATGATCCATTAATAACAGAACAGTAAATAAATGGTGGTATGTCCATAACATGGAATATTATATGGTCTTTTAAAATAAATTTGTTCTGCACTAGATGCCTTGAAAGTATTTCCAGAAGGTACTGTTGAAGCAGAAGTCAAGATGCAGAAAAAAAGAGGATGTTTCGTTTCTGTCAAAGATGACGAAGGGGCACAGCACACAGCAAGCTGTTCCACACCCAGTCGTTCTGTTTCATGTTAGTTTCGTCTCCCCTGCTGGATTTTTAGGTCCTTAGCCCTGAGCCCTTGACCCACACTTCCTTTAAAACCTTTCCCTGTCCCTCAGAGTCTTTCAGGCCTCAAAAAATACCATTGTTACCAAGAGAAAACTCTAACTCGAAAAGATACATGTACCTCAATGTTCACAGCCACATTATTTACAATAGCCAAGACATGGAAGGAATCTAAGTGCTCATCAATGAGGAATGGATAAAGAAGACACGGTACATATACACAATGGAATATTACCAAGTCATAAAAAAGAATGAAACAGTGCCATTTACAGCAAAGTGGAGGGACCTAGACATTATCATATTAAGCAAAGTAAATCAGACAAAGACAAATATCACATGATATCACTTCTAAGTGGAATCTAATATATGATACAAGTAAACTTGTTTACAATACAGAAATAGATCCGCAGAAACAGAAAGCAAACCTATAGTTACCCAAGGTGATAGCAAGGGAGAGAAGAGATGAATTGGGACTTTGGGAATTAACATATACACACTACTGTATACACACTCTTAGGATTATACAATGGAAGTGACAAATAGATTTAAGGGATTAGATCTGATAGACAGAGTGCCTGAAGAAATGTGGATGGTGGTTCACAACATTGTATAGGAGCTGGTTATCAAAACCATCCCCAAGAAAAAGAAATGCAAAAAGGCAAAATGGTTGTCTGAGGAGGCCTTGCAAATAGCTGAGAAAAGAAGAGAAGCAAAAGGCAAAGGATAAAAGGAAAGCTATATCCATCTGAATGCAGAGTTCCAAAGAAGAGCAAGGGGAGGTAAGAAAGCCTTCTTAAGTGTGTGTGTTAGTCAGTCAGTCGTGTCCGATTCTTTGTGAGATTGCAGCCTGCCAGGCTCCTCTGTCCGTGGGATTCTCCAGGCAAGAATACTGGAGTGGGTTGCCATTTCCTTCTCCAAGGGATCTCAACCCAGGGACTGAACCCAGGTCTCCTGCACTGCAGGCAGATTCTTTACCATCTGGGCTATAGAGAAGTCCCTCCTTAAGTGAACAATGCAAAGAAACAGTAAAAAGAACAGAATGGAAAAGACTAGAGATCTCTTCAAGAAAATTAGAGATACCAAGGGAACATTTCATGCAAAGATGGGCACAAAAGTACAGAAGCGGTATGTACCTAACAGAAGCAGAAGATATTAAGAAGAGGTGGTAAGAATACACAGAAGAACTATACAGAAAAGATCTTCATGACCCAGATAACCACAATGGAGTGATCACTCACCTAGAGCCAAATATCCTGGAATGTGAAGTCAAGTGGGACTTAGGAAGCATCACTACGAACAAAGCTAGTGGAGGT